AAGAAAGTTATATTGATAAATGAAGACACTATGCTGGACCAGGATCTCCATTTCAGCATTTTTCTGTAAATTGGCCAGCAAAGACAATACTTTTACTCTCTAGCATTGTGTTAGACTGCTTTTGCCCTTCTACTGGCAGTTTTATCTGATGCAACTGCATTATGTATCTTCCCCCCCCTTCCACTTCTTTCACTACAAAACCCCAAGTGCTAACACAGAAGTTGTGGTTGGCAAGCTTCTGAGGCTAGAATAAGCTGCCTTTCTAATGAAAAGGCACAAATATAATAAGAAAACTTCAATTTCCTTATCTTAAGAAGCCTTGTCAGGGTTAGGCAGAACAGCAAATGCAGCTGCTCAGCCTTGTATGCTCTTCTTTTTTAGACGGCGTGACCTGCATTAAATTGCTTTATGCTCAAGTAAGTTGGAGAAAGACTGTCTGACATGTGTCCTCACAAAAATGAGATGAGTGGTCCATGAGGCTGCTGAAGAAAAAAGAACTACCAGCAGATAATAATGCATGTGCTTAACTTTAATAATCTGAGTTAAAAGCACTCTCAAACCCCAAATCAACTGATTTATTTTAAGAAAACATTTTTGTATAGGGTCAGACACAATAATTTATTCCCTGGAAATTAATTACAAAATATAAAAATACTTGATACTAAAAGAAGCTTTGCTGATGGCACAGGCTCTAAATGCCTCTCCCCAATAAGCCTGCACTTGTGATGAACACCTACGTGCTCTCTCTGCACTCGTTGCCTGAAGAAGCCACCAGGGTAGGGGGTAGTTTAAGATCCCACATCTTATCTTTCAGATGTTGGTCGATCACTGAAAAACAGTGAATGTGCACAGTGATTAAGGTTCTGAAATGAATCTCCTGGAGGCCAGGGGATACCTTCAGACCAACTGTCTGATGGCACAGACTTTCAGCTCCTGAATGTAATTGAATTCCCTTTGAGTAAACAAGCAAAAGATACAATCAACAACGCACAGAAAATAATGAATAAAAGACCACCAGCTGTATCAGTGATTCAGAATCACTTGAGCTATTCTTTAATATTACTGAACTGCTGGAAGAATGATTTGAGTTCAGTGACCCAGATTGGTATCTCTATGAACATTTACTTCATTAAAAAAACCAAAATGCCATGCAGCAGGAATGATAAGATGAAGCACTGCACAGCTGGATACAGGGGGTTCCAGCCCCACCGCTCTTTCTGTCCTTTCAGGTCAGCCATATACCTATTGTAGTCTATATATACATAACTTTTACCTGACAGAACACACCTTTTCATAAAGCCTGCTAACTCCTACTTACCAGAAAGTGGGACACGCTTAGTCTCTTCCTTTCTTCTGGAAGTCCTAAATCTGTGATTTCCAACCAGGTGCTCCCGGGGCTGCTTCCAAAGCGACCAAGAAAAGCAAATTCCTATCCTGCCTGTGTGACTCTGCATGTGACACAAGCTTCTGAGGGCTCTGTGCCTCCTGAAAAAATAGGGTTGATTATTCCTGTTCTGTGCTATTCCTGTGTAATCCTGGGAAGTTCCTACACTTCAGTCTTTCTACTTCAGTGATGGCAGTTTTGCCGAATCGGGTAAAACTTTTTTTCCCTCCAAAGGACATGGATGCATTTTTATTCTCTCTAAAGATTAGTGAAAGTGAATTTATGAACTTAAATTATTCAGTGTTTTGAGAAAGCAGGCAGCTATTTGTAGTTTGTCCACTGACTCCAGCATATTAAGTGGCTAATTTCAGAAGCCTTGCACACTATGCAAAATTCGCTGTCAAAACATCACATCTGATTTTTTCGTAGGAAGTTTGTAGCACACTCTGTGGAAGCAGTAGTTGTTTCTACATTTCTTCCAATGTGTTAAATAACAGTAATGGATGCAGAGCCTAAAGCGGTCAACTTTCTACAGGTAAGGTGGTTTGCAATCTGTCACCAGTGACAAAACCAATTTCGAATAGGAACAGAAACACTGTGTAGAAAAGGACAGGAGAGACCTCTGCAGTTTGTTAATCGAATAATAGCAAACTTGTGGCAGCTGTTATGGCATGTGTGCTTTTTACTTTTGTAGCAATTACTTGCAAGACTTGAGAATGTTAAACAGTATTGACACGAGAGGGTTGCCTTGAGCCCAGGATTGTGGTTTATTATCACACCTTAGTAGCATAGTGCTGTAACCAAGCCAGTGTTAAAGCCAGTCAGCTCTGGTTACTGCTTGGTGTCACAGGTTTTCCATGCTGATGTAGCTGCCTTCTGCTCAGGACCCGGCTCTATGCATGTGTAGGAACTGCTGATGCCTTTATGAGTAGCACAGATACCGTGTAGCAACTCTTACATACTTGCCCTTACCATGAAATACAGAGCCCTGAGCTGGTACTTCTGTTCCCTCTCTAGTCCGCAGGGACAAGCATCTGAGAATGAAGCCTGGACCAGTCAGCACAGGAATTGGGAAGCCAGCAGAACAGGATGAGGAAGCCTGTGTCCAAAAGACCTTTGCTTTCTAGCATGTAATTGCCTGAATAAAGACTGCAGAAATTTCTGCTAGGTAAGATATGCAGCCCCCAGTCTCCCCTAGAGGTTGTTTTCATCTAGTTTTAAATTACTGAAAGGTGCTCATAGCTTGCTTTAATGATGTGGGTGGAATTGCCTTGTAAGAGTCCAGTTAGTACAGCTGCGCAGGAGTGGGGATTTGGTCCTGTCTCTTCCTCTGCATAAAACCATTTCAAGTATCATCTCCTGCACAGGCACACTCATCTTAAACATTTTCTGGCACCGTGGATGTTTTGCCGCAGGAGAGAAAGGCCAGTGCAAGAACATGTCTCCAAAACAAGCACAGGTCTACAACCCTGTGCTGAGGGCTGTCAGCCTGGAGGGGCAGATAATCCCTGCTTTGGAGAACAGTGTAAAATCCACAGACAAGCAGTTACTGGGGGAAAAAAACCAGTCATGGGAACTGGGATCATTCTACTTAACTCAGTTTTAAAGTACCCAAGTCCTTACTTGGATCAAGCCAGAAAATTCAGAGATCTCACTGCAAATTAATCTGTGCACATGTATGAGCAGGCTATGGGCAAAGGAAACTCAGTAAGTAGTGCTCTAGTTGTGATTTTAGCTAGTGTATTGGCTATTACCCTCAAGGGGTGGAGGGATTAAGGAAATCAGGGCCTGACAGTGAACCATCTGCCTGCAGCCCCTAAGTGACCTCCTGGGGCAGGGATAAAATTTGGTGCTCCACTGCAAATTGGATAAGGGTGAATATGAACAATATACTCTTGGAAGGAGGAGTCAGGAGCATGTCTCACTCTTCTGACTCTCCTTAGATGATGGGGAGGCCATAACCTTCCACCACCACTGGAAAAGGATAATTTCACCCAGGGAATTTTTTATGAGATTAAAGGGCAGTTGGCTTAAGGACAGCTGGAGGACAGGAGATGTGGTGTCACTCAGATGCTGGAAAAGGGAGGGGAGAAAATGAAGAGGTGTCTTTCCCTTCCTCACTGTCCTTGCAAGCACTTACGTGGTTCTTTCTTCGTCATAAAACCAAGTGCTGCTCATTAGAAAAAAGTATTACAGTGTGACTTATTGCAGTTACTGGTTGCAGCAGTCAGCAACAGGAGTGACTTCATTTGGTGGCTGAATCTGTAAGCTGACTACTCCTGGCAACTCCCACTGAAATCAGGGGGAACCAAGGACCCTTGAAACCTTACAGGAGGTTTGAGACATCAGAATTCATCAGAGGGTAGGAAGGGAAGGAAAATCTCTAGGAAGGATTAGGGCAGTGTAGTTCTACCTCTGCTTTTCTGTCTATTCCTCAGTATTCGGCTGTAAACAAGTTATACCCACTTTGTAAATATGCCCTCCATCCCTGAAAAATTAATTTCAGAAAATAAATTACAAAAATATTTCAGATTTTTGCAAGATTTCTGATTATTCTGGGGGAAAAATGCATTAAAGGGCATACCTTTGACATTTCTGGAAGTCCTGCATCTCAAGATGTATCACCATTACACAGTTTCTGCCTTTTTTCTAATTTTAGACTCTAAGCCTCCTATTTTCCATGCAATGTGAGACAAAACCAATGTAAATTTTTAAAAAATTAATGAAACTAATTAATAGAATAAAAGGAGTTAAAGCTAAAGGGTATTTTAAGTCAATAACTGAAAATGAGATTTATTGGTCTACTTTTTAAACAGATGGCTGCCTTATCACCATGTGTCTAAGATAAGAGTGTTTCAGTTGCTACCTAAATTTGGAGTGGCAAGGAGTCAAACACATTACAAAATATAGAAGAGCAAGAAGTGACCACTCTAAACACCTGGCGGAAAAGATCAAATCTTTTGGATGGATAGAGCCTTCTCATAGGCAGACATAAAAACTCTGTAACTAAAAGGATGAAATACTATTTTGTTCTTTAAAATGAGACAAAAGTCCAGATTCCCTTCACTATTTTGTATGCACCAGAACATTAATTCACAGCTTGCACAACAGATGACACCAGTGATCTGTTTATACTATGCTCAAATATTGTTATGTCCAATAGATTATTGATTTATAAAAGCCCTTTTGCAAAAGCCCATAACTACTGATTTTTACATGGATCAGTCCATGTCCATGCAGAAAATGTGTTCTTGCCTTTTACTTCATGACCAGAGCCCACCAACAGTATTTAACAGGACTTACTGCCTTTCCCTGCCTCTGCAAAGCCCTAAGTCTGCATGGGAGACATCCTTCCCATGTAGTAAGCTTTCTTAAACTCTTAGCTACCTGAAATATTTATTCTAGCTTCCAGATGATATACCAATACCTCACTCAGTTATGTGGCTTCATCTGCAACTGCCACTTCCACTTAGATGACTATTTGATGCTTTGGTTTTCTCAGCTCTTTTTTTTGGCCAACGTTGGTCTTATTTTTAAGGTGGTACTTGGGGCATCATTTTTAGAGATTCCTTTCTTGTAGCCCCAAAGCCCTTTATTTCTTTTCAGGTCAGCTTCCAGCTGCCACTGCAGTATTATTGGACTTTGTCATCCCATGGGAGGAAAACCAGAGTCTGATCTTACTCTGTGTATGACTCCTGTGAGCCTGCAAGGTAGACGTGACCAAGGAGTGGGGTGTGGCTAGGTGTAATGGGAGGGATATTGGCAGAAGAAAAGATGAAGAATAAACCACCAGGAACAAGAGAGGGAGAGTCTATGACTCTACTATTTTTAATCAGCACAAAGCTCAAAAGAAATTTAGTAGATAAACACTGTCAAATGTGTTAAGGAGTTCTTTTTTCAGATGGAAACAAAACTAAATAGCAGAAAATCCTTGCCTGGCAGGATGCTGACATTCATTTTAGGTATTGATTGGAATCCTATCTAGCTGGTTTCAAACCAGTCATTAGGGGCAATTAGACAATTTTCCCAGTGGCACCAGAGTCTACCAGCAAGCAGCAGAACTCCATCTCCTTGGTCTTTAAAGGTCACTGGGGACAGTCCAGCATCAGTGGGGAAATAGTCCATGCTGTTCCATTGCAGCATGGATCCCAGCATCCTGCCACAGGCTGGACATGCTGCTTTCACCTGCCTCTCTACTACACTTTGAGGTAGAAAGCTCATTGAGAGCACTCTAGGACTGCTGCAGGTGTAAGCAGCCATCTGGTGAAAATCTCCAAAAGATTTTTTTTCCAGTCCAAATAAAACAGGGGCCATAGGGAGAATATCAGGGGTTCTTTTAATAAAGATTCTTTAATGGATCCCCATTGTTTTCTGTGAAAAAAAAAAAAAAAAAAAAAAAAAAAAAAAAAAAGAGAAGAAATTAAGGATCAGGCACTAAGTTTTTTTTTCATACTTTATGTCTACAGAAATAGTATCAGCATTACTAAGTAATCAGTACTTTCACAGATTGCTTACCTGAAATGTAGCCTATTTGTCTGAGTGGTTCTGTGCAAGTTAGAAAACTCAGACCTCTGGTTAAGATGAGAATATGGACAAAGGTACCATTGCAGTAACTTTTGAGAAGAGAATCTCATCCAAGTATCAGCTATAATAAGAGAAAAAAAAGGCCTGTCTTAGAAACTTTCCTACGCTGAAGCAAAGGCAAGGTACATGCAATAACACAAGCTTAAGGGAACCCTGAGAAAACTTATTAACCTCACATTTATATACTTCATTAAATATTAAACCTGCACTTGAAAAGGCATTAGATAGCTAGGATTTTAAATAGAGACTGTTTACAAAGCAAAGGAACAATTTAATTAATTAAAGGATGCACAACATTTAGCAACTTTTTTTTTTTTAATCTCAGCAAACTCATGTGTTTACAGCTTTTAAGGCTAGAAGAGACTAGCATGAACATCTTCTTTAATCTGTGTGGACTATGGCTACTCTATGTTATGCAGCAATTTTTTTTCTTACAAAGAATTGGTCTTCCTTAGTATGCAACCGAACATTTGGAAGATCTGTAATATGACTGAAAGCAGAGGATCTTTTATGTAATATTCACTCTCTACTTAAAACCCTCAAGTGATGGCAAATCAGACATATTCTGAAAATCTGATTCAGAAGTTAACACTTCTTTTTAAAAGATATCATTTTCAAATTGTTTAACTTGTTTCCTTATGGGAATGTGCCCTCAAAATTAAGTTTCTTCTTCTTGAATGAGTATTTTGACTGTGATCTAGTCACCTTTTAAACTAAGTATTTTAAATATGAAAACTGACTAATGCAGATAAGCTGCATGCATACATTGGAATCCTATGTGACATGTCTTTCTTCTTCCTGGTAGTTATTATCATATAATCACAATTTTGCTGTTTAGGAAACTGAGGCACAGGGAAGTAACACTATTTGTCAAAGGATGCACAGTAAGTCACTGTCTGGAAAAACAGAGGAGGCTAGCATTGTCACACATTCATGATCCTTCTTCACAAAGGCTAAGCTCCATCCTTGCTTATTTGCTCTTTATTTCATCTAGATTCAAACAAAAATATCAGACATTTTATTAAAATATGTCAAATATTTGTGAAGATTCACAGCAATATTTCTGTAAATGGTGTGAAGACAGATATGTATCAGAAAATAAAAACCTGACCTAAATACAATTGGAAATATAAAGCTAAAACCACCTAAAGGTTAAAGCAGTGCTCAGCTCTGCAAAGCTGTGGCAGGCAGTTTGCAAAGACAGACTCTCTAATGAAGAATCAGCAATGCCTGCATTATTTATTTCTATATTTTTTTGATACTTCTAGAAATCACAGTAATAAAAAATAAGTCTCCTAACACTCAGTGAAGCAGTGACCTCTGCCTGTAATTATTCTGATGGATTTCACTACATCCTTATGTCATAGAGAAATGCATTGCACAACCCCCTCAGAATTTGAAATTTTGATGCATTTTTTTATAGTAAAGAATCACATTTGCAGCTTGCCAGTGTTCCGGTGCTAAGCAGTAATACTAGAGAGCTGCCACTGGCACTTCCCGGGCTGCTCGTGCTGCTAAAGGGAAGAGCAGGGGTTTCTGGAATGCTTCTTATCTGGGTAATGATACCAGCGGGGATACCCGCGAAAGAAACACTGCAGGAGTGGTAAGAGTCTGACGGCGTGTGGGCATGCTGGAGCAGTAAGTGCAGATAAAGAACAATATGTTTTTCCTTCCTGTGATGCGGTAAGACTCCTTATGCTCTTTGTACTTTCTTTGCTTTATAGTCAGATACACAATTTGTAAAAACAACCACCAGCCTGTAGATTTTAAAATAGTAATTAGCAATGACTAATATCTGGCTGAGGTTTCACACCTATCAGCAGCCCTGCTACTTTGAATTCACACCTAAGTCCTTGCAGTGTTCTGCTTTCCTGGTTTATGCTGGTACTGAAAGGTATGAGCTGCCAGAATAAGGGACACATTTCGTTAGGGTCTTTTCAGTCCTAGTTTCATGCAGAGCTACAAACTCTTTCCTTTGCAAAGGCACCCTGAGGGGATACATGCCATTTTAAGTGCTATCTAATGCTTTCTTGGTACAAAGACTGATATAATTTATGTCAAGAGCCAGGTTAAATTAATAACCGTAAACCACAGCTCTTTTTTAAGGATGTCATTACAGTGTAATGCCTGCTGGTCTCAACCTGGTTAAGCCATGCATTCTGAATTCTCAGAATAAAATTTTAAAAAAGAAAAAAAGATAGTTTTTGACCCAAAATGCTTATAAGCAAAAAAATTTTTGATATATGAATGAAAAATCTGGGATATGGTTAGAAAGGTAGGAGTGGAATAGTCACATTTTAGCCATATTCCTCAATGTGGTCTATGGACTTCTACTTTCACCCATATTCAGTCTCAGGAGGGACTTCCAAGATAAAAGTTCACAGACAGGAAGAACAAAGATGTCACAACCTATCTGCAGAACTTGTCCAGCTTCTTAATTACTCCTGTTCAACATGCATCTATTCAACAGCAGATTGCAACTGAGATGCCTTGAGTCAGGGAAGCACATAAATGTTTTGTGGGGTACTTTTGCTATGTTTTAGTGGTTTCTACACTTAGGTCCATAATTATGATTTAATCCGTGACTGTATGTGCCAAAAGGTAACGAATTGTCCTCCTGTCCCCAAAGCTGTTGTAAGAACAGAGCAGAAGAGGCTAAATTACTAGTTTTAGATATTTTCAGTGTAGCTACCAAGGCTAGTTCTCCATTCCAGAAGGTGAATCATCTGATCCATGTAGAGATCTACCTTCAGATTAAATGAATTCCCTAATAGTACAGTAGAATTCAGCTCTAAATTAATATAACTAAATTTGGGAGTCCAGATGTAGGTGAACAGATGTGATATAGGTGCCTAAGTTTCAATTATAGTTAATGCAGCCTTCAAGAGAAATTTAGCTACCAGCAAAAGGTGCTGGATTTAGCTGCTTAGACTTAGGTATGCCTCAGTGCCATCTGAGATGCTGGATGGTATCTGAAACGCTCATGTGCATTTGACAGAACAGACACAAAACCTCTGAGAGATCAGCAGCCTTCAAGAGAAGGAGGTGGAGACCAGGAATTTTCAAGCATCTCAGATGTCTATGGCCAAGAAACCGAATACACTTTTAGGTGTTTATTTTAGGGTGAGTTGAATGACTCTAAGATCCACAGACAACATATACTGAATATAATAGAAGTTAGACGTTAGGCTTATATGTAATCTACACACAGACAGCTTCTCAGGATGGTAAACCAGATGGAGGGAACTGTGTTCCAAGGAACAGCTGTGGCAGAAAAATGCTTTTATTTCTATCTAAATTTATGCAAAGATGACTGATGGATTTCTAGTTGTAAATGTCCTAAATTCCCCTGCTCCTCCTATGGACAGAGTGTCTTTATATGTGATATGGAATACCAAATGTGAGTTCAACTAAGGGGTTACATGGTAATATCTAAAATAGTTACCTTATCTATATCTTCATGAGCAAGAGTCTGGGAAAAGCTGTAAAATCAAATTAAGAAGCAACTAAAATTTTAACTGGTAGAAGAAGTCAAATTAAGTGTGACTTAGTAGTGTAAAACTTCCAATAGGAAAAAAAAAATCCAAACATTGGGGAGAAGAGCACAGCCAGTGCTCATGGAGAAAAGGAATAAATTTTACATGAACTAGGTTCTTCATGCAACCACTGCTGCCTGTAGTATTTCTACAGCAGCTGATTCTTTTGACTATTACATGGAAACAGCAACTCATATTCCAGGGTTACAAATACCTGTTCCATGTGACAGTTGTTATCTAACCAAGTTTGATGTACCTGGCAGAAACAAATGAGGGCATAATTTGACACTTCAGTTGTTCTATTGTAACTAAGGCCCAGAAAGCTTCATGACTTAACAAAAACTCCTGGGGGACAAAACTATTTTTCATCTTGCCCTGTAAAAAGTTTTTCTCCAGGGACCTCTGATTCTCCTTTGCTTCTGTATACATATAAGTAAAATGCAAATAATGCAAGATCATTTAATACAGCAACAAGTCATAAGCAAAGCTGTGAAATTTGCTGCTGCTCAATAGCAGTGGATGGTAGGTGTGGTAAAGAACCACGTTCAGTGTCCGCTCTGGACTTGAATTTGAGCACGAAGACTGGTAACCTTGGAAGAAAGTGACTGTACTTCTGTTCACAGTTCAGTTTCTCAAGACAGATTTAGGTTAATTACTCTGTAAAATGGGAGGGATACTGTACCAGACATCCCACTCACTGGCAGAGATCTTCTAACCAGAATTCAGAAGCAGCAATGGCACTGAGAGATGGCAATAGCAGAGAGACTTTTCAGAAACTTACTTCAGTGTTTTGCACATTGATTACCATTTAGCCAGCTGAAAGCAGCCACTGACAGCTCTCTCAGCATGCCAGACAAATGTAATACAGAAACTGAAAACAGTAGCATCTTAAACAAAAGTCAATGACTCATTAAGTCAGATTAAGTCTGCACAGACGTGTCAGAATAAACTATGTGTGGAGGAGTATCAAACACATAATTAATATATTTGTAAAAAGGGCAGGAGGAATTACTGGTCACCAGGACACAAGCCTTCTCCTCTTTTTACCCAGGTCCTTTTAAACAATGGGGTGGCTTTAGATAAAGCAAAGTGAGTGTGTATAAGGAGTCAAGATCTAGACAAGGAGGAAATAGTATGGTAAGAAATGTATATTGGACTTAAACTAGTGTAGCTTTTTTCATACTAATTAACACCACCTCCTTATCTGACTCTCTCAAGAGCATCTGCCAACCCCAACTCTGTCCATTCCATGACTTATGGCAATACTCTTTCTGTTGTGATGCTTCCAAAAACTCTCTTTTGTTGGAAGAACATATTTGCTCATATAATTATAGACTGTATGCAGTCATAACTGTGTCCCCTACTCATGACAAAAAGCTAACCAGTTTTAAAACAGACACTGATGTTGGCTTTGCTTTAAATAGAGAATAAGAATGCCAAGGGAAAATTGTGGCCATTATACAAACAAATACAGTATGCTCCAGCAAAATGTCAATTAGAAGCAAAACGTCAATCATTCTGCTCAATGAAGATGCTCAATTTTTCCTCTAGAAACTGTACCCCAACTCTCTCTGTGAACCTACAGAGAGTTAAAACCTACTTTGGTGCTTGCTGTTCGTATTTGAAGTAACAAGGTCAACCCCAATCTGACTCCTCATGTTCCTCGTATTTTCAGTGAACAATTATACACTGCTGGTAAGTTTTTCCCTCTTTACTCAAAAAATCCATGTTATTTACACAGTTTCTCTCAAGATATTATCTTAATTCTACACTGATAAGTTGCCCTTTCAAACTTCTGTTAGAACCATGAACAGCAGTCATTGCATTCTGCTGATATTAACATTGATTGCATTTTGTAGGGATTTGAGTGACTCAGCATCACATTCCTCATGATTAGGAAATGTTTTGCAATTTCACTTTATGATATACAAATAAAATCTTATCTTTCCCTTAACGTGTCCTTCTGAGATGGGTTTGCGATAAAACACATTCATGTTCACAGCTATAGTTCTCTTGCTGATTTTCTCCGTTGCTCAACAGATTTATCATTAATGTAAACCCCATCACCCCTTACTCCCACCTCAGCTAAGAATCTGACTGAAAAGCAAAGAGTGGAATCAATTTCTGATTTAAGAAGAAAATAACTGCTTAGGAAGAAAATTACTAAAGAGGGGAAAAATAATCAACAGCAACAGCCATTTCAATTACTGGGTGAAATTAAGGAATCTACAAATGGAAGTACTATAGACTATAACTTATTTAAGATGGTCAGATGTTCTAGTTCAAATGGGGTTGTTCCTTAATTTTTGTACCAGTTTAATCAAAGCCGATGCACACATATGACTACAACTGCTCCCTTCTTTTGTCTGTATTCTCAGCACCTGCTGAACCACTTCTATCCCATTTCTTCCTGACAGTCAGATATTGCTTCTGTCTCTGTTTCATAGTGCAGTTAAGTGGCTGATCTGTCTTCCTCAGCACATTTTCAGCATCCTGTTCTAACTTCTCTCCAGAGCACCTGGGCCCAAGAGAAAATAAGAAAGAGGAAGCAAAGAGAGGTGCTAGTGGGTGATAGGTAATGCCAGAAAAAAGCAAGTTCAAAGCAAATGAAAAGAAACCGATACAAATATATTACAGGATGAAGTAGGCTGGATATGGAAGCTTAGCAGAACATGGGTAAAGATGTGAACTTCAGCCCCTGCTCCCAGGGACTGCTATATAATTCTCAATCACTCTATAATGACAAACAACAACTCTAATTGACAGCAATGTATTTCAGGTAAAGACAGCTGCGCAAAGGAGAAGCTATGGCTTTGAATTTTCCCAGGCAGGAAAGGGCACTGAGCTGAGACTCCCATACTTTGAACAAGTGCCCTAACACCAAGCTAAAGAAGAAAAAAGAATGTGCTGCCAGTTTTGAAAGTAGTTATACATATTATGGAAAGCCAGTCCTGAGACTGGATCATCTTAGCAGGACCTATGCTCTGAGCTGCTTTTGAGGTGCTTTTTGGACATGCTGAAGATCTTCTGTTACATTGGAAACTTTAAAGTTCAATATTAAAGGTAATATGGTAACTCTAATGGACAGATGAATTGAGATTTTGAGAATTTGGATTTATGTGTCTGCAGTCCCCTAAGTCATTTCTTCTGCATCTCAGTTCATGACCACACAAGAAGTCTAATTTAAATTTTTGGATCTTTGATGCAACCGAGATTGCAATTGTTCCTACGCTTTTTTAGGCTTTGGATTGGCAGCTTCCCATGCAGTCAGATATCCATGGGCTTTACTGGTGTTTCTGAGCCAGTTTTCAGAACCAGGCATCATATATCTTATATACTGATAATGAATAATAGAGATATACAGATCTGTTTTCACTTTGAAGAAGGTCTAAGGTAAAAAATAGCAAAGTTTGCTTTACATAACAGACCAAGAATTAAATTCAGGCTCTTTTCTGTATGCTAACAGCAATAACACATAGAAGATTCACTCACTGGATCATATATCAAGACACATCTCAATTGTTTGTGCCTTCTGCAAGACAGCCTCAAAATAGAACTCTGATTCTGATACATTTGGAAAAAAAAAAAGAAAAGAAAAGAAAAGAAAAATCCTATTTGTAAAGAACACTAAAAGTATTTGGAGAGCCAACCAGAAAATCCAGCACTTAATTTCAAAATAAAGCTAGAACTTAAAGGAAGATAAACCAAAAAGGTTTACATTTATATTTTATTTAGCATTCCCATTCATGTATTTGCTCAGTGGTAACATTAATGACTTAAACTGTATTCCAATATTAGTGAAAGAATGTGATGGGTTTTTTTGTCTTGCAGGAGAAAGACTCTAAGGTCAGCAACTGTAATTCAAGGTCAAAATTTCTTCTGACTCTTGTTCTCTTCAGACAGGAGCTGGTTTAAAACACTGCTCTCTTTGAGAGCTTTTAGACTGGATATATCTTCACTTACAACAGGAATATCTTCCCTTTGATCCTCAGTTATCAGATCTTCACTGTCTGACAGTGTACACAGGAGCGTATCATTTTCATAGGTAGGAAAATAATACCTGAAAGCAACAAAGCATAATTACTAGGTAGTCACATATTTTGTTTGAAGGAAGCAGAGCATATTTTATGAGATTAGATTTTAAAAAAGGAAAAATGAGAAAGTCTGGTTGTCTGTAATGACAGTAAACAGCACACCCAGAAAAATCAATTCACATGTACATCTTAGAAGAGTCATACAGAAAAGCTGGCAACAGACAAGTTCTTCCCCTTATTTCTACACCTGTATGTTGTCACAACTGAGGCCACATATCCAGATTTGTCCCACAACAAATGCTGAATGGAGATGTTTCTGTTAGAATACTCCCTGTGCTTTACCAGGTATGGCATCATCCCCCAGACCTATTCAGCCTACCTACCATATGAATCAGTGCTATGTTACGCTCTCCTTCTATTTGCTATGGAGAAAACTATGGGTAAACAACAAACTTGTTTTGATGCCTAAGTTACATAGACACTATGCATTTATCTATATTAGAAATGCAAAAGAAGGGGTTTGGTTCAGTTCCAGAACTATATGCCTAGAATGTATCTTTACTAGCAGTGAAATATATGCCAAATGTCGATTCCAGTCATGATTTGCATCTGTGTAGAGAGCTAACGGCTGGAAGAATCTCATGTGAACATGTGGGCCATTCAAGATATCACCTTGGTGCACAGATTCAACCTTGGTTCCACCAAGAGGGAATGTGCTCTGAGTGCACCACATATGCCTTTCACCATTCACTGCACAACTGCAAATATAGGCAAAAGACAAATTTTGCAACAATAAACCTCTCTAGCATACTGACTTGACAGTGAAGACACAATTTATGGGGAAGTGTATCCTGGATGCAAGTAGAAGAGCAGTATCACATGTTCATTTTATCTTCAGACATATAAGGATATATAATTCTGAGTAGTTTTGAGACTATTTATTATTGTATCTGGACCAGTAATGCCGGGAACTCAGGGCACTGTTGCACTGGCAAAACCCAGAAGTTTCAACATACTGTTTTACAGACATTATCAAGTATCAATATAAATGCTGGAAGAAACATGTGTGCCCTTACTGTGGTTGATCCCATGTAGACCTGGCTGGCAGGAGTGTAATGTGTTTGGTCTTTTCCATATGACTTATCAATTCTCCTTTAGACTGAAATTTCTTCTGGCAGTTGTAACAACGACAGTGATGAATTTCTCTTCTGATGAAGTTCACTAGCTTTACTTGCTGATAAAAGTTCAAACCTGGGAGAGATGGTAGCGAACAAGTACTTGAGGAAGATGAGACTTCATAACCAAATGGTTTTTTGGATTAAGCATAAAGACTGATAAGGGTTTACTGAAGCCAAGCACTACCTGAATGCTGAAACTTAGCAAATTAACTGAACTTTCTCCCAGCTGCAGGGGAATCAGCCCTTTTTTTAATATAAAAATTGCAAACACCTTGCTTCCTCTCAGTCTACAGCATAAAGCAAACGTTGGCCAAACACAGCTTAAAGCACAGCCTTCTAACTTGCAAGTAAGTCTTAACAACAACAACAACAACAACAACAACAACAACAACAACAACAACAATAATAATAATAATAATAGTAATAATAGGGCTCCAGCAGCTGGATCTGAGACTCAGAGAATTTGTTGAAGCTACTCTGCAAAAGAATCCAATGATTTTAAAAAAAATATCATACATCTTTGGCAATAACAACAGTTCCAGAAAAGTAAAGTGTTCCCGATTTTCTTTTGTAAGCTGGCAGAAACAGTTTCCATAGTGGAAAAGTTAAATGTCTGAACAAAAATCAAATTGATACAGTTGTTTTCCACCATTCTTATGATGCGGTTTTCTCCACACTAGTGGCAAATGTTGACAATTAAAGCATCTCTTACTCACCATGCTCTGACTTTATTTTAGGAAAGTCAAATCCATGTGATTTCTGAAGAAGAAAAAGGAAAGAATAAAATATCTTATTTCCACTACTTCTACTACTCCAAGTTAAAAACAGCTCAGCTTTTCATAGACAGACACAGACATATGCATGTAGACATGCAAACACTAATACATGAAACAACTGCCCCAAACTGTTTCATCAGAAACTTTCATATTCTGTTAAAATGCAACGCTCCTGTTAAATACTTTATTAAAACCGAAACACAGATGCTAACCACCAAATGTATTAAATCATCAAGTCACTGTATTATTAGAGATGCTACCTTTTTATTGTCTGTACCAGTCTGTATACTCACAAGTAACAGTCATACTCTCAATGTAAAACATGACTCCGCTGTGTATTTTAGAGAACGGATGTTAGAGATGCAGGCAGTTCTTTAGTTCTGTGCTAAAGAGGGCATTCTGATGCAGTAGCTGATTTGATCTTAACAAGGATGCTACAATCTTATGTTTTAATTCCAAAGTGATGAAAGAACTGATATTTAAAACAAGTCTTACCTGCATGTGAAGATACAATTTTTCTGTGGTGTCTGCTTGTTGTTCACAGAACAGGCAAACTGCACACACAGGATGCTCTTCCCAATCAGACCAGTCTCTTATGAAAGAGTCAAAAAGATTCATTTAATTGTTGAAAAGATAAGAGACATTTTGTGAAAGGAGACCAGATTCTGCACTCACAGCAGTGTAACTCAATCCAGAGAAATGGAATACTTTAAAGAGGTAGGGGAGACAGTGTGGATTTATGTCTGGACACATGATTAGAGTATGATTTACAATCTAAAAAATCACAAATTCAAGAATAACTGAGCAGTTACTGTTGGTTAATTCCTGTGCTGACAAGCAGGAAGTCCTACTTGAATTTGCCTGCAGTAAAAAACTTCAGTTTCTGTCCAGTTTGGCTAGTCATCAAATATTGTGTTCAGTGTTTATTTTTATAAGGTCTTTTAAAATTCTTTTATGCTGTTCTAATCTTCCAGTACACCACCTAAAGACATAATCATTAGGCAGAGTTCACTTTAAGTGTTATTTACTTATTAAATACTATTATTCCTGAAAGAGACAGTAATTTATGCTTCTTTTAGACATGCACCCAGAGAATATTTTACCAACACATCTATTTGGCACTCTAATACTGCTGAGAGATAGAAATATTATGGCAACCACATGTAATCAAGTTAAGTTAAGCTCAAGTCACTGACAAAACCAGGAAGGTCAGGGACCCTGATACCCACAACTTCCTTCCTGCTTATTCAATTCTCTATGGCCAAGGACACCACCTCTGCAGTGATCTGAGGGCCTGGACCACAGAAGAATGCAGAGGAGAGATGGATGCTGCCATCAGTCAACACTGTTAAGAAATTTCCTTTGAAATTGTGTTATCAGTCTTTTTCATGCTGACATTTTTGATGCTTACTCTTGATTTTAAATTTGAGCAAAACCCGTTCAACCATTTCTTAGTATAGAAGTAAAAAAAAATTGTTCTGCCTACATCATTACATACACAAAAGGCTGTTGTTTGAGATTGCAAATGAAAAATGGGCTTGTGATTCAAATACAAAATTGACAGTCCTTGTTGCGAAAAAGTGTCTCTGACAAGAACAAATTGGGGTTGATTTGATTGGCTTAAATGAATTTTAACTGTGTACTAATTAAGCACAGCAGTTTTCCTGTAACTATTGCAACAATAATGGTCTTGCAAGTCTTTATAATGGGCATATAAGTAACTCTTACTCTTCTAGGTTATCCAGTAATTCCCGGTCATCCTCTGACTGCACTTCCTCCCAGGACTTTCCAAATTCCTGGGGAGAAAAGAAAAAACATTTCCTGATTCACATCACTTTATATATCAACTGAATGAATACCTGGGAAGTCACAATCAGCATCTTACTTTGGATCACTTTGGTATTTCTGCAAGTTAAAGGTAGTCATACAACAGTGCTTTAGTAATAATTTTTAAAATAATAATTTGTTTTGTCTTTTGATGGGATATTCTCCACTCTACATCTGGGAAGAAGATGATTTGGCACAGAGCTCTGAAGAAGATTCAAGCTCTGTGTGACACTAGTGTTGCAACACTACCAATATGTTCCCGAGGTAGGTATGTTATCACTGCCTTGAGTTTGCCATCACACTTGCTCAATCCAATCTGCCTACCTTGCTCTTCACGCAGCATATGCTGCTTAAACAATACAGCTATCACACCTGAGTCTTTAGTTGGCACAGCTACATCAGTCAGCGCTTGTACGAGATTATGTCAGTAAAAACACATGGTGTAAACCTAGCTAGAGAGTACTCCAGGAGGGCAGTATGAGCCAGGGCACAGGTCTCTGAGCTAAACTCCAGTTTCCTCTTCCATCCTATTCTCAGATGTGAATGTAAGCACATCTATTCATGGTGTATTATTCTTCCTTTTACTTTCTGTGTTGTTTATTTATATTTTAAAGACATTCAGCACAAAGTGTATCACCATACATTTGTGCAGCACTCAGCACAATGGCAAGCACTCTCAGCGTGACTGCGATATAAATAACAGGCAATAAAAAGCTGAAGCACTCTACTGAAATACCAGCAGTGATCTTTAACTAGTGTTTTTGTTTCCTCCGATTCTTCCCGCCTTCAAAAATAAACCAGAGCAAACTAACCAGTAATCAAAACAGTATTTTTGAACTCATACTTTGATGGCTGTGAAGGATTCACAAAGATCATAGTTAATGATCTTGTCTCCATTTAAAAAAAAGACAGATAATAAAAAGACCATTATTTCATTTATTTAATTCATATATTCCCTCTGATAAATACATTTAATAACATCCTTAGTGTTATTATTGCCTTTATGGTTGTATGGAAAAAGAAGGAAAAGATATCCATCATTTAACAATTTAATGAGAATTTTCAAAGCTGTTAGTGTCTATCAGGTAAATGATAAACAAATGTCTCCAGACAGCCTTAAACATAATGTCATCATATATTACAGAAAGAAAATTCAGTAATTAATTCAGTGATGCTACATGGTAGTGTGTAAACTCTCTGAGTTACAGGGAGACTCATTAACATCACCATTACTGCAAGATAACATGAAGCCATTAACACCTCTCACCACATGTTCTCCCAGCTGCACACTAGTTTCCTAAGGCTGTTAATGTTAACACCTTAATGAGAGGATAGTGGCTTACAAGCACTGCAAAATGAAGACGAATGCTCACAGTTTTTCCCCTTACCACCTTGAAGTATATGTGCACAAAAGAGTATGTTCAGAACAGCAGTCAATATTAAGTGTCACCTTTTAATTAAAGGTGAAAGTGAAAAACCACACACAAGTTATTGTTTCTTTATGGTGTTTCTGTGAAGAAGGCAGAGAAGAATCTTGTAAGAGGACTCTGTTTCTCTCATCTATTTATATTCAGAGGAGAAAAAAAAAAAAAAAGAGGAGAAAGCTAATCAGGTCTTGTATCACTGGAAAATTGCATGGTAAATGGATAACCAGGGACACTGTGATGAAAGTGCCAAGAGACTGAAGTTGAGCCATTGGGTGGGAAAGAGTTATTCAAAACATTCTTAAAGCTCTTTCAGTTTTTTAAATTTTTCTTTTTTAAAAAAAACATATTTTCAATTCCACAGCTTGATGGGCATTTGCGACCAAGGGTACCTTTGTTAAGTATTCGATTTCCCTTGCTCTTTCATCTAAAATGCAAGAGCTCCCAATGAACATCTCTAGAGATTCCCAAGAAATTCTTGACAAATGCAGAGAAAAAAATAGACTTGACATTATTAGTAGTTCAAACAGTAGAAAATGCATAATTAAAAAAACTGCTATATATCCAAGGAAAACCAACTTTTTAAAAAAAATACTTCCTTCCTTCACAGAGAGAAGATTCCTATAGAAAAGTGAGGAGAGCATGCAAATATGTGTGGTTTGATTTCCTCTTCCAAAATGAAGTCAAAATGCAGAGATGAATTGACTCTCAGACAATTTATCTTCTCAAGTTGGGCACAGTTTTAAGGGTTCTACAGGGGGAAGGTTTGAGTGCTTCACTGAGGCAACATACCCCAACTTGAGAAGTGCTGAGATACAAGAAACTAGAAACAGCAGCTGGTATTTCAAGCAGTTTTCCCAGCAGAGAAGTTACTAAACTACATGCAAATGTAGTTCCAGGCCTGTGGAGCTCAGAAACCCCAAACAGATGCTGCTTTCCTCTGCAAATTTCCTCACACTTGTCTTACTGCAATAATTTGAATTGTTTCATATTGCTGCAGAACTCGAGATGCTTTATCACAAAGAAGAGGTTGTCTTACCCCAACATTAGTTAATAGATGTTGTATGAATTTTAACATGAAGCTTTCCCCTACTTGGGGGATTTTATTAAGTCTTGAATATCACTGCTGATGAAGGGTTTTCCTTTACTATTTTACAAAATATACACTGTGTAAGTCAAACCAGGCTAAATATAAATAGTAAACCCCATAACAAAACATTCTTCACTCGGTCCCCAACATACAATGATGATGATTTAGGGCTTAGCAATAGGGACAAAACATCTTTTTATCTTTGAGGAAAAGAGCTTCACGAAACAATTTTTCTAGTAAGTAGCAGGTACCATTTTCAGCCATCTAGCTTAGTCATAAGCATATTCATTATAGTGATATTACACTACTACAGATATATGCCATTATTCAATTTGAAAATAAACATCTGTGCTTCCTAGGATGCTCTATACTTAAAGTGCTGCTGGTAACAATCAGGTGAACACAAAAGGGAAGGCCCTGTCAGTCTGGGTCTGCCTCAGTTACCTGGACTAAGAATAAGAGAGTTTTAATACTGCCTTCTGTTCTTTTGTGACCTACAGCAGGCACCACAGACTACAAAGTTCTTCCCGCTCCATTTTTACTTGGCTCTTTGTGCCAGGTGAGTCATGGGGCCACAGGCTAACACAGGCAGAGAAACAAGAAAATTATGTTGGAAGTTTTTTTGGAGAAAATAAAAATAAGGTAACCTACATATGTATCTTGGATGCATTGTTGCTCAGTTCTTCACCCTCTACTATCAGCTGGTCTTTTTCAATTTATACTTCAAGCCTTTCCAAATAGGATTGGTATTATCTTCCATACTTACACAATACTGACAAAAGACCTCCAAATCCACTGGGGAAGTGACTCCACTGCCTATCAAGTAATCTGCATCATTGTGAAACTCCCACTCTAATTTAATGTAACTATCTAATAATAAACTTATGGTACTTGCTTATGAAAGAAGTCTATTATACGAGCACATGACCAAAAAAGCTTCCACTCCTACTAAAGATCACATGTAATACTCTTAACACTAACCTGTGTTAAGAGCAGCAGAACATGTCAATAATATGAGGGTAGACAGATCAAAGCAGCTTGCAGGTCATGAGAGAAGTCACAGAAAGTCTCAGAATACCAAAATATTTGCAGAGGAATTTGCACTTATATTACTCATTGCTATGCCAAATTGGAAATTTAGGGGAGGGAATTACCAACACACATAGAATGTAATTTATGTTATGAAAACAGATTCTCGCAAATGCACTAAAACCACAAGTGAAACCAAAAGCAGAATGGAGGGAAAGGAAGAAGGCAGGCAAGCCTACTGCTCTAAATGAAATCAATAGGAGCTTTGCCATCAGCTTAAAAACAGGAGTACGAACTGGCCAGAAGATCATGAGGCAATTCAGCAGGCATTCTCAGGAAATCTGAACAAAAAGCCCTTAAAACCTCTCAGTACAAACCCCACAAAATAAAGGAAACTGCCAGTCCCAGCTTAATAAAGACTATTTAACACAGTGCCTTGGTGAAGATAATATGTAATGGAAATTTATAATAAAAGGACAATAATGTCTGTAAGATGGTTGTACGAAAGAGCTATTCATTTAAATAGCTTAAGATCCAGTTGCGGACAGAAAAGCTTTATGGTGCACATCTTAAAAGCAAAGTGGATAACACTGTAATAATATTGGTGTTTCATTAGAGACCTCCTTATCTAATAGTCTCTTTATGATGAATTTGATCAAACTGGCATATAAAAAGATCTTTGTTACATTCTCAAAATTCAAACTTTTCTGTGAAAATGTAAAACCCAGATCTTTAGGTCAAGATGAATTCAATAGTAAATTTTGAAATAGTCATTTTAGATATGATATATAATAAATACACGTCCGTGTCTGTGGAATTATATCATTTCCCTGAACATTCAGAGCAATGCAAAGCACAGATCTTTAAGACTCATTGAGAAATTGATAAAACTCTGGTAAATTGTGAGACGCTGGGAGACAGGAGGCAAAAGACATCAAGTCATTGCAGAAAGCAGAGCTTGCATAACATCTAGAATTCACTGAATATAGTCATCTTGAAAAAAAGAATTCTAACAAATTAGTATAATTCACTGTAGGTTATATATGTGCAGTAGAGAATAATGTTACTTCTCCTTTCATGTAAAGGCCAATCTACTGAACCCCCAGTGAAAAAATTAAAGTTCTTCCCTTTAAACTTTTTATCCTTTGTGCAAAAATAAAAGGTTTGCTGAAGTCTATTTTGAAAGAAAACAGTTTCTACTATGTAGGAACCATCCTAAAAATTTCATGTTAATGAAAATTTTACTCTCATGCAACATTAGGTATGCAAATACAGATTTTATAGTAAACTATTTTATAAGTGTTTAAGACAGAGTTTTTAGTATGTTTTTAATTCTTTATTAAAAAAATAATCCTTTCTTTAAAAGAAGAAATGTCAGGAGTTCTGATATTCAGTTCGAAGGATCAGAAAGACTGAGTAGAAACAGACCACTGAGTGGACTGTAGTGAAAGACAACTGAAAATGTGTGAAAAGAAAACATGGCTGTAGCAGAGCATGTAGAGCCAGACAAAGAACTGTGATAAGTCAAAGTATGTCCCAGAAGAAGCACTGGCAGCACACTGGTACAAACCATGTCTGCACATGCAGAGCCCCCTGCCCAATTTTAAACATTTTGGTGGTTTCACATATCTTATTTGAATTGTATTTACCATTCGCTGTGTGTAATAGCAAGGACCTGAAAAAGACATCTCTAAGTGATGCTGCTAAGTGATCAATACCTGAATTGGTTCAGGTTGGCATAAGAAGTTACTCTTCAAATTCCTGCCCAGAATACCAGCAATAACTATGGAGGACCAAGGCCCTGACCTGCACACTGTCCTGTGACTGCCCATACCGTTTAATAGTTTGCATGTTCTGTGGCCCCACCAACAGCACTACCCAGACAATGCTTGGACATTGTTCAGAAAGAATACAAGCCACAGATTGTTCTTAGCAGAAGCAAGGGCAAAGCCACCAGTTTTGGAGCAACTGGAGAGAGTGGGAGAAGAGGTTAGGTATAGAAGTGTTAGCCTTGCTGTAATATTTACTTTGTCATATTCGGCTTATTAACATGACACAGCCAATGTGTCTGCACTGATGTTATGACCTCCCTGCATGTCTCTAAAATTTCTGAAGGAGTATCACATGGTTCTCTGTGATTCTGTGCAGTCATCTAGCTCTATTTCCTAGTCAAAGCTGGGACAGATTCAAATCTGAACAATAAATGCAAATTAGAGAAGGTAATTTAAAGAGGATGCCAAGTTCTGAAAACATAAGATTACTCGCAGGACTACCAGAGAAGAATGAAACTATTAAAATAACTTAAAACAATCACAATGTTAAATTCAAGTCTGTTAACTTGCAAGGAAGAAGAGAATGCTCAGTTATGTTGAGAAGCTGAGAACATTTACCCTGTAGAACTTCACAACTTTTTCCCCACTGAGCTGCAAGTATAGGTCAGTTTTTAAAGCAGTGATATTTGAATATGTAAAAAAGAAAATAGAGGCTTCAGATAATTGATCTTTGGAAAGAAAGTGTAAAGGATCACAGAGGGAATTCACTCCATCTTGGGTAGAAGGGACTTGGCAGAGCATTAAACATACAACTTTTGTTCTTAGGGTAAAACCCAGGGAGAGAAATTAAAGGGAAAGACTAGGTAAAACTGTCAAAGATGTCGATTTATAACCTGGATATTAACACATGTAGAAGGCACACAGACTACTTCAGGTGAAATACAGTTATTTCTGGGACTGAATGTAGCAGCTTTTGAGGCAGCTCCTATATTCATGAGTTGAAGACAGCAAGTGAAAATCTGTTATACACACATGCATACATGTGTCTGAGATAAAAAAATATTAACACCTAGCAGCATACACCTACCCAGAGGCTAAAACTGAACTTACTTTTTCTTTCATCTATGTATATTTCATTTTCCTCCTCTTTGCAGTTAATTTATACTCTGAAGAACACTTCCAGTTTAAGTTTTGTGGAAAACAATCTCAAAGCCAATAGCATTCAAGTTAGACCTCCATTTACTTCATTACTCTATCTTATTTTCCCTTCGGGTTATTAAAGCAGAGACTAAGCACTAATGACATGGTGATTAGCGTCTCTTCAAGCTGCATTCTTGCCTCTCTCAAAATCAATTCTTAACAACAAATGTTTACTATTCTTTAGTTTAACAATTATCCAGAATATCATACCATAAATGAGCATGTTTCTTAAGAGTCCTTCACTTGATTTTTGACCCATGTACTAATTGCTGGTCTGGAGTTACTCACTTTTAAGAAGATATTATCTATATCTCTTTAGTTAATTTAGTAATTATTCATTGAACCACTTACCAAGTAATTAATGATATAAAATTTGTCATATTCTTTGTTTTTGGCATTGATTCTGCGATGCTGTTTCTTTCTCATGTGATCTTTAAGTGTGTTTTTGTCTCTGAAGACTTTTTCACAGTATAAACACTGCAAACTAAGATAAAAAGGTAAACATGTCAACACATTAAAATGAAAATAGTACAAGACAACATCCTTAAATAAGTTGGATATATACACAGTAAGATTAATCCTAAACATGTGAGAGCAACCTAAATGAAAAAGAAGGTTTATTTGAAAAAAAATTTCTTAGATCACAGTAAAGTTAATCAAACACAGAGATGACAAAAATGACATAAAATTAAAATATAGACAAAAAGGTTTACTGTTTGCCCCACAGGCAAAGTGAGAGAAAAGTCTGATCACTCAAAATTGTCCTACCAGGGCATGGGAGGGCTGTTGATTGGTCAATATGTGAACTCTTAACTCAGCATGCACTTATACTGGCACCCAATCCATCAGTAACTGTTTCTTCGTAATTCAGAGTGAAAAAACCCCAACTCTGAATGTGCTACGTATCTTTAAAAACAATTTAAATTAGCTAAACAGAAAGTTTTATACTTCTAACTCAACAGAGAGGCTAAATGAAAGTTTGCCAGGGTGATCAACGGGTTTTGCAATCCTGAGAAATCAAATTTAGTAAATAAATTAATATGTGTGTATATATATATAAAATTCATGTACCTGTATATACATACATACCTATACATCCATGCATATATACAGATATATAGACATGCATTATTATATATATATATACACTCATTACCTGAGAAGGTGAAAACATTCATTAACAAATGAGAACTTTACCACAATACTGTCTTCCAGAGCAATTAAAACAAAACAGTAGTATATGCATTGTCTTGAATTCTCTATTACAAGTAGTATACAGTAATTGTTCCCTCCACTGTAGTATCAACTGACAACTGGAAGTTGAGCCTCTTGACTCAGACAAGAGACTATGAGGACAGTAACCTGCATTTCAGTCTTGTTGTGATTTACCCCCAGCTGGTAACTAAGCACCACACAGCTGCTCACTTTCCTGCCCAGCAGAATGGGGGTCGGAAGGAGGACAATTGCAAAGCTAAAGTGAGACTACTCATGGGTTGAGATAAGAACAGATTAATACTTGAAACAAAGTAATTATTATTAATTAACATTTAATAAATAATAATAGTAATAATAATAATAGCAATGACAAGGAAACTAACAAAGAAAGAAATAAAACCCAATAAAGACAAGTGATGCAAATGAGAATAATTGCTCACCACCAACTGCCCAGTGCCCAGCCAGTCCCTGAGAAGTGGTCCCCATGACCAACTCTCCCCTAGTTTATTGCTGAGCATGATGTCATATGGTATGGAATATAACTTTGGTCAGCTGTCCTGGCTGTGTGTCCTCCCAACTTTTTGTGCACCCCCAGCCTATTCACTAGCAGGGTGGTGTGAGGAGCAGCAAAGGCCTTGACTCTCGTGCTATTAGGAAGAAAATTAACTATCCCAGCCAAAACCAGGACAGTGAGAAAGGCACCTCAGTGCATTAGGCAACACCTATGATAACATAAAAGGCATTCTTAATACATCTTAATTTCTGGAAGAAGTTAACCAGTAACTGTTGTGGCTGCACATTCTTTGTCAAGCTGAAGACAAAATCAGAGAGCACTGTTGGCTTTCCTGTCCTTCAGATCTCTTTATTTTCTTTTTTTTTTTTCAGATGTACAAACTAATGGATCCTAAATTTACTTGGAAGGATATTGAATCTAATTTCCTTATCCAAATTTGCACAAATCCCAGTGTTCTGTGGCTTTTTATAACTAAGTTGAACATTTAGGCAAATTTCTCCTACAGTCTTTGATTACAGATGATATTAAAATTTAATAAACTTGCTAAAGCTACAGTTTCATTCTTAAGTAAGTAGATTTTCTGCTAGATCCCAATTTATATTTGTGGTATTGTCCCATTTATGAAATCCATAAAGGGCTTTTAGATACTTGCAAAGGAAACTCAAAGTGAAGAGTTTCTTGCTCTTTGCTACCCAAGTTCTTCTCCCAAATTCCCCTTTTAACTTCTTCAGCCATCTCAGGTTTACATGTTTCTGAGGCAGCATATACACTGGTTTTCCCCTTCTGCTCTGGAATGTACTCTATAAGCAATAGAGAAGGGAGGGACCAAAGATCCCATGTTATCGATATACAGAGAGTCGAATGAAGATTGGCATAAGAACTCTGTATTTATTGATTAAAGAGATGTTTAGTAAAAAGATTGTTATGATGAGAAAGAACATTAACTCTTAACAGTTAAGAAAAAAAGGGACGTGCTATTGCGTGTGACTACATTTTCCCAGCAAATGTATATTACGAATTGTTATGAAATAGCGTTCAATAAGTCAACAAAAATTGTTCTAAGAACACTTACAATAAACTTAGATTCTCTTTTCTTCTTCTTAACTAACCATGTGTGTTGGGTATGTGTGTGTGCACAGGGGTTTTTTTCGTAGCGGGAGCTGCGGTAGTGGCCCCCTGAGAGAAGCTTCTCAAAGTACCCCTGGCTCCAAGCCAGACCTGCCTCTGGCTAAGGCCAAGCCAGAGATGGTGTCTGTGGCACTGTGATAACATATTTAAGGGGAACCTGAGAAGAGGAGTTGTGAGTTGTGGGGGAGACACCTGTGCAAGAAACAAAGCCAGTGGAAGAAAGAAGAAGCTGGGGAGAAGTTTGCTGGAGTAGAGACTCCCCTGCAGCCTGTGGTGAGAGGGCAGGCTGTCCCTCTGCCACCCACGGATGTCCACGGTGGAGCAGATGCTGACCTGCAGCCTGTGGAGGACTCCATGCTGGAGCAGGTGACTTCACCTGAAGAAGGCTGGGACTCTGTGGGAAGAAGCTCCCGCCATTGCATTTTGGCACTGGGAGGATTGCAACACGCGGGGGTGACCCACGCTTGAGCAGCTCGGGAAGAGCTGCAGCTCACAGGAGGGACTCGTCAGAGAGAGTTCGCAGAGGACTGTCTCCTGTGAGACAGACATCAAGCTGTAAGAGCGGAAAAGTGCAAGGAGTCCTTCTGAGGAGGAAGAAGCAGCAGACTGACCATAACTCCCCATTCCCTGCCCCTTGTGCCAGTGGAGGAGGAGGAGGTAGACATATTATGAACAAAGCTGAGCCCAGAAAGAAGAAAGGGGTGGGGGAAAGGTGTTTTTTAAGATGTGGTTATATGTCTCACTGTCTTACTTTGTCAGTTTTGTTTTTGTTAGTGTCTTTATTAAATTTATGTTATTTTCAAATTCCCCTAATGAGTCTGTCTTTTGCCTGTGACCATAATGGGTAAGTCATCTCTCCCTGTCCTTATCTTGATACCCAGGCCTTTTGCTTTATTTTCTATTTCCTTCCTGAGGTGAAAGGGGGAGTGAACAGCTGCATGGTGCTCAGTTGCCCTCTGGGCTCAAACCACAACACCATGAATGTTGAATTAATTAACTCAACTTGTTTCCAAGGTTAATTGAAATACGACCTAAGTCCATTTAAAAAAAAAAACAAACCACACCCCAAAAAAACAAAAATACTACTTACTTGTCAAGTTTTTCCTGCAATACAGCCAAGAACTCACAGCAATTCACAATGTTGTCTGGCAGCCCAATATTAAAAGCATGCTCTCTTGCCATATGATTCAGAAGGACAGATCTACAAAAAACATTCATAAAAAACATTACATATTTTTCAGTACATATGAGATGTATTCAATTAGTGACTTGAAATAAACCAATTGCTCTAAAAATGCTTAAAAGACAACCTTAAATAAACAGCAATAGTGTTTCTGCCACTGCTAGAAAAAAACCCGACTTTGTTGAAATAGGAAGTTTTCAATTTCAGCTCTGTTGAACATTGAGTAGCATTTCAACTGCTTAATCCACATGCATGAAATATAATCCTTTAAATGAAAATTACAATATAGTTTATTTTGACCCCCACTGTTAGAAAAGCTCATTTATTAACCTGACTAAGCAAATCACATGTTTAAAACAACTGTCTTCAGAAACATTCTTAAAAGTAATTTGTCAGCTTTCTCTATGCTGGTGAACAAAGCAGAAATTCTTGGGTGTGATATGCTTTTACATCAGTATCACTTCACACAGCACTAACAACAAAAACAGCACTCAAAATTACACATGAACAAACATAATGGATGTTCAAGTAATAGAGGTATACTGGATAATTCCTTAGATGCCTCAACTTCTGCATTTGGGGACTAAAGAAACATCCAAGTGTTAACACTCCTGAATCTTGCTTTTACCACAGTCCAGGTATGATTTTCAAATCACCTATTCTGTGAGACCCAAGAGTAAGCAGAGGATGAAGTTCACCGGGGCTGAACGATATGAACTTCTACTACACCAGGCAGTAAAGAGAATAGGACACTCACAAAACCTGTCGGGACATGACCCCAGCTTCTTCTACCTTTCCGGACTATCAGAACCACCCATGCAAACAGACATTCAGGGATAAGACAGTTTCCTGCTGAAACAGATGTACTGTGTAAAACCAACCTTTCATCAGAACACACACTTCTACGGAACTCCTACTTGCATTTGAGTGATGCAAAGCACTCCATTCTCACTCTAATTTTCCTTCCCTCTCTTTCATTCAGTCTTCAAATTCACACTTGTTTCACGAGGTTTAAACAGGAAAATGTGTAACTGGATATAAATTCTTTTTTAACAGACATACTAGCTTAAACAGCTCTCTTCGTCACTAAAACAACCACTGAAAAACTGTCTCTTTAAAATGGTTCACTTCCCAACTCCAGCTTAATGTGTGGTATAAAAAGTTGCACTGGAATAATTAGAAGATTGAGAAGTGGGAGGGGGTCTATTTAAAATGGCATTGCAGTTAAAAGAAATTAGTTGAATAGCTGAACTATATCTTAAAATGAATTCTACCTTCTGAGTCATACCATTAGGCAGTAACTGGTTCAATGACATTAAAACCATAAACAAAGATGCTGAACAGATTAAAAAAAAAAATCCAAAAGCAATCAAGTCAATAAACAAACCTGTTTCCTGTGAATTCTTGATCACAGAACATACACATACTACGAAAACTTATGTCATATCTCTCTCGCTGTTGTTGTTCTAAAATTTCTCTCTATGAAAAGAAAAAGACACAGTTATTCAGATAAAAAAATAACAAACATTCCACCACATAAGCTTATTATACCTCTTAATCCTTACTGGTAACAATGAACATACAAAATTAAAATGTGCTGCTGTCAAAAACCAGATGTTAGTGTTGTTTGAGGGTGGGTGCTCACAAAAATTACAAGTTTTTTGAAAGGCAGGATGTGGTCCAGTCAAGTTCCATTAAAATTCTCCTAGTATTATATAAGGTGCAAAGAAACAAATATAATCCACAGTGAGATTTTACGTAGCTATTTAAATGATTCTGTATATAACTGTTCCTACTGATGTTCAGATCTGCTTCTGGTATCAGAGAGCAAGTTTATGGGTAACTACATAATGCCCAGTGGAATCCTAAACTCATTTTGACATGGCTAATTGCAGGCAATCTAGAGGACTTTTTCATAATACGGAATGATGACAAGAGCCTTGACAGTTTCTGCAAGGAGCTACGGTGTGTAATAGATTCAGGGAAAAGGAGAAGCTGATTGCCTCCACCACTGGTCCTGTTTAATGTATAGCAACAGGTTAAGACAGACACTTTACACACTTGACCACAATTCTCCTAATAACAAAATCATGCAGCAGGTGACTTTCTCTGGTGCTGTAATAGCAGCAGTGCAGTTATACTATGGAGTTACTATACACTTCAGATGGAAAGGCTGTAATCATCTGGGACATGGGAGAATCTGTGTTTGGATTAAAATTTACCGTATTTTCAGCCTGACAGTACAGTACCCTGTACTTGTGTTTTAAGTAGTAACAACTGGTAAAGGATTTATTTTCTGTGCAATGTAGAGGTGCTACTGCTTGCTTTCTGACATTCGGGATGCTGACTGAATTTCTCAGGGGATTTTCTCAATCTCTTTATCTCATTAGAGCCTGCAACAGTGGAGCTTTGTATTTCTCACCTATTTCTTTAGTAACTTTTTTGTGTGGACTAAGGCCCAAACTTGCCCACAGTCTACAATTAAATTCACATTCAGCTATGCCTGCTGGTTAAGCTCCATAGAAGGCAGAAAAAAAAAAAAAAAAA